CGAGATGTGCGCGAGGCCATCGTAGGAGAGGAGAGACGCGCCCACCTGAGTCGCGATCGACGCCTTGACAGCGGCCGAGAGAGCAGCTGGCACCTCGCGCTCCTGGATGTCGAAGGACGCCACAGGCTGCACGAAGGCCTGCATGTCGCTTCGGTGCATGCTCACGCGTGCGCGCTCGAGACCGCTCACACCCTCGCCAACCCAGCTCACAAATGCGCACTTGACCTGATTGGCCGCCGCAAACATGAAGCAGCCGTAAATGACGAGGTTGTCGTCGAGGCTGCCCAGTAGCTCTTCAAACCCACCCTCGCCCGTGGCGAGCAGCTGCAGCCGCTGCGAGTCGTCGGGGTCGTATCGTGCAGTCAGCCAATTGATTCGGCTCGTGCTGTGGACGAGCGCGAGTGGCGCCTCGAGTTCCTCGGTATTCAGGCCGCTCGTATGCCGCCTGGTGTGGTAGTCTTGCAGGACCGAGTCCGACATCGTCCCGAGATTTCGTGTCGCCATGGTGATCGGATCACAGACACACTCCCAACCAACAACACAAATGCTTGCGCCCCTGCCGCCGCCGGCGAATGCCCGAAGTCAGCGCGAAATTCTTTTGGAGCACAGCTCCCTGACTGACTACACGGCGCCTCAATCAACGGTATGGCGGGTGGAGTGCTCTCTACTGCCGCGGCGCCCCTGTCGGTTCGGAGGCGCCCGGCGGCCGTGCGCTTGGTGCCGACGTCGACCGGCTGGCTGCTCCCGCGGCGCCGAGGCGTGCCGCTTCGGTCACGTCACGCGCGCTGCGAGGTGTCTTTTGGCATGTCGGCGCTTGGCAACGACGCCAGGAAGCTCGCCTTCCTTGCCTGCGGCCGCAGGCATGCGAAGTGCCCGAACGATACACCCGACATTCTTTTCGCAGTGATCTGGATGGGCCTTGGCGCTTGGTCGGACGGGGAGGGACCCGCTCGTCGCTTCTTTTCGCCCATCTCTATCCCCGTGAGGCCCGTGTGTATATAGACTCCGGATTAGGCATTGGTTTTTAGGAGAGCGGAGTAGGCCTCCGCCGTGGGTCTGCTAGGCGGCAGTCGCGTTTCTTCTTTCGGCTTCTCCAGATTCGCAATTTCTGCCCCTGCTCGCAGTCGTGAGCTCCGCACATTTCATCGCACCGCGCCTCGCGCTCTCCCCTCTCCGAGTGAGACGCTCCACACAGCACACGCCGGCGCCGCGCAGCCGGCACCGCGGCCGCGTGCGGCGCCGCAGCGCTCGAGCTCGCCAGAGCACACGGCGCGGCGGCGCCCACCCTCTGCTGCCCGAATCTGGCGAGCTGTGCAGCTCTGCCCCGCGCGCCTGAGGGCCAGGCTCCCGGCCGCTGCGCGCGCTGTTGCTCTCCCAGAGCGCCCCTTAAGGTCCAGCGGGACTCGCCGCCAACCTCCTCTCTGCGCCCCGCGCCCCGCAGACAATGCTGTCCCTCTCCGCGGCTCCCCTGTCCTTCTCCGGCGCGCCGGTGCTGCGGCCGACCCGCATGGGGCCCAGCCCGACCATGGCGGTCGAGGACCTGGTTGGCGGCATCAACGACCCGATCTTCGGTGGCACACCCGAGGGCAAGGTGTGGGACCCGCTTGGCCTTGGCGCGGATGAGGCGTCGCTGTACCGCCGCCGCTGCGTCGAGATCAAGCACGGCCGCGTGTGCATGGTCGCCTTCCTTGGCATGACTGTTGGGCCCAACGAGGCGCGCGCCGCCCTGCTACCGCTGCCACCCTATTGCGCGCGCGTGCGGCGGCCGCAACACCGCCCGTCCCTGCAGCCTGACGCCGCCTCCCCGCCGCCGCTCGCAGCTCTTCCAGCCTACGCACCAGCTGCTGTCCCCGTCGCTCGGCCTCCACTTCGACGACATCCCGGGCGGCATCGCCGCGATTGACTCGGTTCCGGCTGCGGGCTGGCTCCAAATCATTGCGCTCGTCGGCGTGCACGAGCTCACGATTGCCAAGCAAGACTACACCAAGGAGCCCGGCGAGATCCCAACCTTCCTC